CTCACTCCTAATGGAGGAGTACCAGTAGTACCTCTAGTGATCCATTGACCAGTTGAAGGAGTAAAGTGCTGTATATTACTAGTGATCCTTCTCTTCTCTTCACTATCATGTACTTGAGGTAAACCATCCTGTTTACCAGCCCACACATACAGTGAATCACCTACTGATACAGTGCGGTGAAGGGCTCTTCCCTTCAGTTGGTCTATATATCAATGATTGGTAGTACATGATACTGGAATAATAACATTAGGAGTTACTTGTAGTAGAGATACTATCTTTATTTTTAGAACTAGCCATCGCTGGCCGGCCACAGTGGCCAGTCGAGTCGCCACCTACCCCTAACTGGATCACGTGATATACAAACTGGGTGGGGCTCAATTTTTTGCAAAGCTCAAAGTGCAAAATCATGTGAATTTCTTCAATCAGTTAACTTATTATTGTTTACAGTGTTTAGATATTAATACTTTAAGTACAGTAAAACAAGACAGCTATTTATGATTGTGTAAAGGAATCTCTCCCTGTCCTTCAATGTCCCTCCCTCTCTCTCTCATAATTACAAAAGTGAAGAGAGAGAACTAAATAAAATTAAAACTTTGTAAATCAACTAATACAAAATAATAATAATAATAATAATAGATGATTAAATGATCATTAAAAGTATACAATTAGTACCAGTACATCCTTTATTGTATTAATGTGTATGCATGAGTCAATACTGACAGTGAGGGGGTGTAATGTATGGTATAATCCTTGTATGTAAAGTGGGTATGGTCACTCTTCAGTACTAGTAGTCATTGGTTTGTCTCCTCCCATTGATTGTTCCTTCTCTTCATTTGTTAGTTTATTGTTAGTCTCTGATGGGGGGGGGGGCAACCTCTCTATTGGTTTTTCATTGGAAACATTGTTCTGGAATAAAAGGAATAGATAATACATGTACATGTTCAGCATGCATGTGTACATGTCAATATTAAAAGTTTTAATCCATAAATTTTGAGACAGTAATCATATAAAATTATAGTCCTCACCTAAAGTGTACATGATGAAACATTGCATTG